TCCAAACATGACTGCCATATCATTTAAATAAATCAGTAAAATTAACTTTTAAGTAGCAGGTGCTTAATATGCAAAATAGTTGAACTTGTTTAAAAATAATAAGTTAAATTAAACTTAAATTGAACAAAATGTAAAATGAACTGAGTATAAATGTTTTTTAAAAATCAAGTTTACATTACTTAATTTATTTAAGTACTTTGAGCGTTGGGGTTCACAGTGCGGTGGTCGTGGCACTCCCAGATGGCAGCAGCCTCCCCAACACACCTCAAACACAGAGGACAAAATATTTGCAGGTGATTTGAATGTTCTGGCTGATTTGTGTAAGCGCAGCAAAATGTTCCATATTTCTTTCCCAAGGAGGTGAAAGTTGCAGCTTCCTGCCATCAGGTGTACAGCGAGTTATTGTGCTGATCGACAAAGACTTCCTGGCTGCCGAACAGGCTGGAGCTGCTGGAGCTGATGCCGCCGATCGCGGGCAGGTAGGAATGATGGAGGATGGGCAGCTGGACAGACAGACGGCGCCGCATGCTGACAGAAATCACAGACAGGAAGAGAAGCAGTAAAACTTCCACTTCAAATATTCACTCTAATGTGTCATTTTTCTGTTAAATACATTTATTAAGGACACTGATTGGCTTAAGTTTATATTTATGCAAGAAAACTGCACTGAAATTTGAAAAATGTCAGTATTCACAGAAATATGTTAATCTTCAGGACTGGGCGCTGTGGGAATGCTACTAAGTAACCCCAGCAGAAGGGGTTACATGAAGGGGATCTCTGGAATATTTGATACCCAACATGCAGACTGACGGCGAAACATCTGGTAACTCGGTGTACCAACATCGGCAAGATGTAAATGCTGTCACAGGTAGAGGTCGATAACGTACAACACAAATCCTACAGCAAGGGGGAGCCAGTGTTCACAGAGATGCTTGATGAACAGGCACAAGGAGTAGCATCGAGAAGGAAACTAGAGGCCAGGATCAAGGTAGAACGGAGCAATTTCGTCTGCTATCAGAGCTGCAGAAAGGTGTGATGAAGAAAAGGACACCTAAGAAGTACAGCAAGCAGTCCATACCTGAGGCCTTGGAAACTGCCAAGCAAAGACTCACAGCTTTGGCTAAAGAGGTGCGCCAGAGATCGAAAGCAGGAGAATAAACCAGCGGTTCTCCACAGACCCGTCCAAGGTGTACTCTCAGTGGCAGGCGACCAGTATGAGAACAGCACCACCAAGGCTGGAGACGGAGCAATACTGGAATAGCATATGGGTGAAGGACACAGGCCTTAGTGGATCTAAGAGCAGAGCATGGCAACCTCCCTGAACAGACTGACCAACCTGTGCACTGCCTTGGTTTGACTTAAAGAAGCCCTATGACTCGATGCTCCACACTGCCTAATGCCAAGACCTGTACAAGATCAACAGGACCCTGAGAGCCTTCATCAGGAACTCAATGGGGATGTGGCGAACAACACTAGAGGCCAACGTCAAGCCCATAGCACAAGTCACCATCAAGTGAGGGATCTACCAAGGAGATGCTCTGTCCCCACTGCTGTTCTGCATAGGCCTGAACCCCCTCAGTGAGATCATTAACAAGACTGGCTACGGATACCGACTATGGAGTGGAGCAGTTGTCAGACACCTCCTGTTCATGGATGACATCAAGCTGTATGCCAAGAGTGAACGAGACATCGATTCACTGATCCACACCACCAGGATATACAGCAATGACATCGGAATGTCGTTCGGGCTGGAGAAGTGTAGTCGGATGGTAACAAAGAGAGGGAAGGTAGTCAGAACTTCCAGAAGTGCAATCCCATAGACATAGAGGACAGCTACAAGTACCTGGGCATCCCACAGGTAGATGGGAACCATGAAGAGGTCGCTAGGAAAGCTGCAACTACCAAGTTCCTGCAGAGGGTCAGGCAGGTCCTGAAATAGACGCCACTAACATCAAAACAAGGAAGCTCCTCACCATGCATGGAGGGTTTCACCCTAAAGCCAGCACCCTGAGGCTGTACACTAAGTGAAAAGAAGGACATGGAGGCAGTAAGTGTCAGTGCCACAGGATGAGACAACACAATCAGGAAGATAGCCCCAACCGACGGCGTGCTCAGTGAGCCAAGATCCTGTGGGACTTCCAGATAATGTCAGTGTAATTATCGATACACGTTTGACTTTACAGACACATGAGCAAGAACATGTTTGCTATGTTTCCCTCAGATGTTTTGTGTGTTGGACTCACTGTTCAGGTGAGTTGATGTCTTTCAGGGTTGAAGCTTCGCTCTCGCTGTTTCTGTTTTTCGCACAGATCTGAGCTTCATGAGTCACCGATCCGATTTCGGCTGCTTCACAGGAAAAAAGCTTTTATCTACTCATCAGGAATCACACACAGACAGAGTACACATGTTTAACTCTCAGAGAGAGTGATGATTACCGTGTTTGTCTCTCATCAGACGCTGAAACATCCCAGATGTCTCAGAAAGCTCCATTCTGATGATTTCTATTTCCACATCCAGCTGCAAACAAACCACACACATAAAAAGCCACATCTGGGAATAAAATGTAACCCATGGTTATTTTATTGCCAACTGTATTCTATTTTTATTCTAATTTGAAGTGTTACTGTTTTGTTAAGTGCTGAGTTTTCCCATGTACCGTGAATGCACCATAGCGCGTGCATGGTGACTTTCTTTCACTGCATCCGCCTGCGCGGAGCTAGATGCGCAAAACTGTGTGGAGATTCAGTCCTGTGACGTGTTGCGCTACGGAATGAATGTTCTTTGAAGAATATCCTGGTGAGTCTCACAGTCCGGTTTAAGTGTGATTCACAGTCTGAGTATAAAACCAGTCAGGATACTATGCTTGTCGGAAATGTGATGTTTGTCTTAGAACCTGCTAACGCTTGCTTAGCCGCGTTAGCCTGTGGAAAGTATGCTAGCGTACCCACATGTGCTCCCTGGGCTAATGCGCTTACATGTGACGTTTAGCTAACACCACGGAGACACTTTTCATGCTTCATGATTTGCAGTGAAATGTATTTTTGTTTTTCTTACAAACAAACAAAAATACATTTCATACATACATTTCTTTTTTTTTCTTTTTTTGTATTTTTGTTGTTGATAAATTGTTATTGGCCAATAAGAACTGTATAGATGTGTGAGGGGAGAAAGACTAGAGAAACACATGTTTTATTTTACAAGTGGAGTGATTGCACTGCACGTTGTGTGCAGGCTGTTTTTTTTATGTGGTAGAAATCTGCTGCAAGGACCGAGCGGTGCCGTCTAAGGACTGGATGCCACTGGAGGTGCCTAGAAAGGACGCTCTCACTCTGAAGGCCACCTGTTCCCTTGGAGGGTGGTAGGACGCAACGATTTGCAATTTTTTTCCGGATTAACGTTTTTTCTAAGATCTCAGGACGCTTTATGTTGTTACTTTTTCCTTTTTGGGTCAGATCTGATTCCACTTAACACAAAACCTGATGCATCAAAAAGCAAAACTGTGACTAAAGACGATCCAAATAACTTGAACACTTACTAAGAACCTTGAATACTAAGTGCACTGAACTGAAATGGACAGCCTACCTAAAACATTTATGGACACTTTAAGTGATATGTTGGACATTGTTGAAGATTACATGTTTGAGATGATTTAAATGTTTTGTTCATGTCCATGTTTTGGACCATTTAAAGGTTGAATACAGTCAAATCACTTTTCTCCCTTTAAGTTGTTGTCAGTGTCTCATTCTGAGTGGAGGGTTTTTCCTTTAAGTTGAGTCACCACTGCCCGTCTCCTTACGATCCTAACTCAACCCAACGAGTAGATTCTCAAATATTGTTTTTTCCTTGACTTTGTATGACAGATTACTGTGGATTCGACTGATTCTGGACTACTCAGTTAAAAAGGGTGTTTTTGTCTGATTCATGACAAAAACATTAAAATCCAACAAATATTTAATGAAGAGCAGACAGCGTCTGTCTCAGTGAAGTTCCATTTAAGTAGTTAAACACACTTAAGCCTATAATTTGCTACAGCTCCGCCTCTCTACTCCACCACAGTGAGTTTTAAAGAACAGATCAAAGTCCAGATGTTCAACTTTAATTTAAGGAATTAAAAAAAAAACTTTGCATGAACTGTTTAGTAATCAGAGACATTTTCTTACACCGATCTCTGTTTTCAGAGGACACTGTCAGAGGCAGGTCTTTCCTGCAGCACCTTCAGCTGGTTTGTGTGTCTCTGCCTTCATTTTTGTATTTAATAACTCTGCTGCACGAAGAACATCTGGATGACTTGTATATGGAAGAAAACCCCATTTCATGCCTTGAGAAACTCTTGGGTTGCTTTGTGCAGTTTGCTTTGCTCTGCTCGTTATCCACGTGCACTTTGAAGCTCTGTGTGAACGTGAGCAGAGTTCATCCCACTGCTTCTATCAGCAGTAATCAGCAGTGACCTGGCTCCAGGCAGCCATACATGCCCGTATCATCACGCTGCCTCCGCCATCGTGTAACCAGCGGTTTGCAGCTTGCTGTGAACTTCATGAAGCTGTTTACTGCTTGTAAACTCTGACAATGACACGCCCGCCTCTTTCAAAGTGCTCTTGGTTACATTTTGTGATGTTTGTGTGTGAAAGCGATAAAATACTAATTCAACACTTTGAATAAACTTCAGTGATTTTATCTGCTTCGTTTCCCTGAAATAACAGGCTCAAAGTGAAGCTGCTCATTGGTCCAATAAAGCTGAGCTCTCAGTGACTGTGGAAGCCTGCACTTCACTCACGTCTTCATTATTAGATTTAAAATCTATGTGTGGTAGAAGTTTGATAGTTTTGATTGTGTACAGATGCAAAACGACAAAAACTGCCTGATCTAAGTGGAAGTGGAGAAGAAGCTCGCCAAATCTTCAAACTTCATCAAATTTAATTTGAAGGAAGGAAAAACAGGCGTCGCTTATAAAACTGTTCCTTCTGTGTTGCGCTTCTGTTCTCTCGCTGCGGCTGACTGTTCAAAGGCTGGTGTAACGCTTCACCTGTGCACTTTCACTCCTGAGCTGCTGATTCAACCTGCTCAGCTGATCTTCCTCTTCCTGTGCAGCATCGCCCTGCAGCCCGGACGCCTGCTGCAGGCCGCCGCCGCCGCTCCAGCACACAAACACAATCTGCAAGCAGACAAAAGGTCCGTCATCATCCTTCATGTGTGATGAAGGAGGAGCCACGAAAACAGTGGTGTCTGCATCTGTCCTGCCAGATGTTGTGCATCTGTTGGTGTGACCTAAACTGCGGACAGCTCGATCGTGAGTCTTTTACCCTCAGCGGGTTTGCGTTTGACTCTAAATGAAAGGATGAAAATACGCGGCGTGATGCTGACCTTCGGTCCAAACCACCCGCTCAGGATGAAGAGGTCGCAGCAGAGGATGAGAATGCTGCTCACACAGAACTGAACTGGAGGATTGTGGGACGTCAGCAGCGATCCCGACACTCCTGACACGCTGAACGCCGTCAGGGCAAACGTGCTCAGCGCCAGTTGTTTGCCGCTGCCTGCCGGCTCGCTGACCTCTGCGGTCCAGATGTTCAGGGCCACGAAACATCCGAGAAGCTGAAGACAAAACATCAGGTTCTATCAAAGCGCAGAAATCCAGTGACCCTCCTGATGAGCTGCTGATGCTCTGATCCTGCAGCTCTCAGTCTTGGACTTAAACTTGGATCAGCTGATGATGAACAGTTTTAAGGTTTCAACATCACTGATATTAGAGCGACATCTTTGTTATTTTTGTTCTGAAACATCAAAAAACAAATGAACACAATCACTGATGGGGGGTTTCAGCTCATCCAGCTGCTGATGTTGGCGGGGATCAGCTGACCAGCTGGGATCAGCTGACTGGCTGGGATCAGCTGACCTGCTGGGACACTGTGATGCATTTTAAAAAATAAAAATAATAATAGTTCTTAAAGATTGCAACTTGGCCTAAACTGCAGCGTAACATCAGATATTTGATAAGAACTGACCAGCAGAGGTGCTTTGTATCCATAGACCACAGTGAGCCACAGCTCCATGTTAGCACTGCTGCAGCGTTCAGAGTACGGCCGGATGATGACGTCCTCAGCAGCGCCGCCCTGAAAGACCAGAACAGCTGGTTTGCGTCAGACACAAACATCTACAGCAGGGGTCTCGTCCACTCTGCAGCAGTGTGGCTGCATATGGATGGATTTCTCAAAGCAGTAAAACAGTAAATATATTTTTATTTCTAATTTTCAGTAAATCACTGACTGATAAACAATAGTGGTGATGAAAGCTCAGGCTGCATTTCCCATCAGCCCCTTTGCTGTGTTACAATAAATATTTGCATTTAAAGACCTCTGTGTTGTGCTGAAGCACCTCCCATCTGAGGGGGTCCAGGATTTGCCAGGAGGTTAAAACAAGCGCGTCCACCAGGAATAACCAGAACATGACGCAGCCTGCTGACGGCGCTCGGCTCTGCTGGGGGACGTACAGAGAAACAATCAGAAACAAGACTTCAGGGATTTCACAGTTATAGTTTTATAGTCTGAGGTTCACAGGAGT